AAAAATGCTAAAGTCCACTTAAATCCTCCAGGATTGCAGAAATCAACAAATATCCCCTTTCTTTATTCTAATTTTTAAGACTGTTGCAGGTCTATAACTGCTAATTCTACCAGTACTGGAATGAGAGGCTTGTGAAATACAGCTTTTGCTAGGGACTCTAGTCACCGTACACAATTGGGAATCTGATGCTTCCATGTTGTTTATGAGGCCCATCACAAGATGGCACAGATGCTGTTGAGTTTGGCACAAAGCTTCCTCTAGCTATCTTAGGCATTGACTCCGTACTTTTGAGAGCCTTATTGCTTCCATGGTAAACAGTAAGTGGAGGATGAGAGGGAGTTTTAAAAAGGAGCTATATTCTGATCTTCAGGCAGGATGTTAGACTCATCTCAGTCACAAGCTGCAACTGGAAGCACGAACTGTTCCTCTCATGACTTCTACGTTCTCCAAATTTTGCCAACATTCACCTCAAAATTCACTTGGTTGCACTGAGTGCACTGGATGTTTCCTCTGGTCAAGACCCTTACTCCCGCTTTTCAGAACTGAAGCGACAAGGTAAAATACTGCTAACCCAGACTGAACCTGCACTGCTTGAAAACAATGCTTTCTACACACACAACAGAGAGGAAAATAAAAACAAAAACAAAATAGGAATCTTAGAAAGAGTGACACTGTAACTGGAAACATTTAAATACAGCAAAACATAAATTCCTCTTCTATGCAAAGCTACAAAAGTCCAGTCTTTGTATTGTCTTCACAGGTTATGGTTTATGGCTATGCTGAGAGTCTCTGAGATTCTTTTTTTTTTTTTTTTTTTTTTTTAATTTTTTTTTTTTTTCATTTTTTTGAAATCCTGTAGAGTAGACCCTGCAGACACATCTTTGTGTTTGCAACTTTCTGAATTACATTGCAAAACTGTGCATACAGAATCTGAGAAATAAATACATTCATTACTGCACATACATCTTGATACAAAAACAACACTGTCAAATAGTGTTTGCACCATCTTTGTTAGATATTAAGACCAGGCAAAATTAATATTTCATTTTCCATCAGCCCCCCCATCAAATGTTTGAGGTGGCTTTGGTGTAGAAGGTAAAAGCTACAAAGGGTCAAGACTAATGATGGAGAGGTTTTCTAAAAAACAATCTTTTTTTTTGGCTTCAGCAATATTTTTGCAAACCATCTTCAATGGTCATCATTAGACTCTTCTAACATGCAAATCTATCTTAAGTTTCACCTAGAAAGCCTTATGGTTTTTGGTTGGTGTCTTTGCACGTGACTGCAAGGTATGGAGTGAATCACTCCGGCTGTTTAATTAAAAGGTGGCTCAGATAGTCAGAACAGCATAGCTCAGGCCCCAGGGCAGCTCTGGGTAGAAGAAGGGAGCTACGTGTCTGCACTCGTGCCCTCACCCCAGACCAGTAAAGCTTCCCTGGCCACCACTGCATTTCACAGGGAGATGCCGCCTCTGCGCAGCCCATGCTGACGCAGAGCGTGGCACAGAGTTGTGCATATTCTTCCACATCAGCAGCCACAGAGCCTCACAGAAGCTGCGTGTCAATAGCTCTTTGGTGTTTTCTGTGATCTTTGTGGCTCCTGCTAACTTCCCCAAATGCACAGAGCTGGGCTTTCATTTATTTTTGCCAGGAATTTGGTTTTGGAGGTCTTGCAGTAAGGGCAGGAAAACAGCTAAACCTAGCTCAGTGATTGCTAGCCCGAGGGAGATGAGCTGGGTATAGCAGCTCCCTCGTTTCTGACAACACTCTTCTCTGATCCCCAAAACTTCTCCCATCCCTGTACGCTCTCCTGGGGCTTCTCCACCCTCCCACTCAAGGTCCTCTGAGGAAGAAGTTGGCTGCTCCCCATGGCTGCAGGCTGTGGGCCTTAGCAGCTGAGCCTGCGCAGTATGAGGGCCTGGGCCTTGCACAGCAGCATCCCTCATGGGCTGGAGACAAAAAGTCCTAAACCTACGTGCCATAGTTCTGACTGCTCTCCCTCCCCACCCTCACTGAGCAGTGTTGGAATGCAGGCTGGCTTGCAGTTCCCCCCTCCCGAATTGGGGAATCTGCAATAGCCTTCAGAAGAGAAACCAATGGAAAAAACAAAGATTAATTTTGACTGGCCCCTAGATCTGTTGAGGTCTGAAACTGTAAAAGTTTATGTAAACAATGAGATAAATATATTAGTACTTTTCTGAGCCAAGTGAGGTTCCATACTCATTCAAATGTGCTTTGGTTTAAAAAATAGTTTCGTGAATTTGGGTATGAGCTTATTTTTTATACAACTTTCACTATTTTATCTTTTTTTTTTTTTTCCTGTTACTCCGAAAACATTCTGGAACTAAGTGACTAAAGCATATGCTTAAGCTGCCAGGCCTCTTTTTTTTTTCTTTCTTTTTTTTTCTTTTTCTTTTTTTTTTTTCTCTTTAATGTTTTATTCCTCTTGAGGCTCTCTGTGTATCTTGAAAAAAAAAAAGCAACTCCCTCCCCCCACCCTAAAACTCTTAAAATCTTAAATATGAAACTAGTGTTTTGCTTTCTCATTAAAATACAGAAAAATGTTTGATACAATACTATGTCGTACAAATGCAGTTGAGTGTTCAGGCCCCAAGCAGGCCTTAAACAATCCCTGAAGTTTTGAGTATTATTAGTTATTCATTATTACTGTCACAATTTGGAAAATGTTTATACTCAATCTACGGAACACAACTTTACGCAGCTACTTGAAAAAAGAACAAAATTTCCTTTTGTACAATACTCTTGCTGTACACAGACTTTAGTCGTATTGTTTAAGTGCTGGGGGAGAGGGATAAAGTAAAAAAGCCATTCTGGGGAAAAAAAAAAAAAAAGCATTGGGTCCTGAAATTTCAAAATGATTTTCAAAGCTTAAGAAAGAAATGAAGAAGGTACCTAGAAGGGGAAGGAGAAGCTACATCACTCACACGCATGCTTGTAAAAATGGAATTAAATGAGGGGGAGCAGGTTGGTTGCCCACTTTGGATCTGACTGTGCTTCCCTGAGCTGTGGGTGCTCCATGCCTTGGCTCGGCAGCCCCAGCTCCAGCTGCATCCTATGGCCTCTGCACAGCTGCCCTCCCACTTACCCCATCACCACAACAAACTGTGGGGCTATGAGCAAAGGGGGGAAAATCGTGCCCAAAACCTACTGCAGAGGCAGAGCTTACTGCCAGCGACGTCTCTCACTAGGAGAGCTAAAGATAATTGTCAAAATCGGGACTTGGTGAGTTCCGAGCCAGCCAGCAGAAAAGGAGGCTCTGCTGTGGCAGCAGCCAGAGGCAGCATGAGACTGAGCTCAGCTTTCAGGCTGCTGGAGGGAAGGTGAAGGCAGTGTGAAAGTGCCTTGGAACTAATTTTGTATGGCTGTCCTTAAGCCCTTCTGGGACTTACTTCGAGAAGAAGGTAGATGGCAAGGCCTTCCCTCTTTTCAAAGATGATTCTGGGGATGTTCTTAGGGAGGGGGTTGGCTGGGAACTGAGGGAAGAAAAATTCAATATAAATTCAAATGTGGAAGTGCTAAAGACACTAAAAACACACCTAGCCCCCCCCAGAAGAAAAGAGCGTGCCTCAGCACAATGAGAAATGAAAAGTCCGTGCTCCCCTCATGCCCCAAGTCACAGTGGGGCCAGAGCAGGCAGACAATAGCACGAGCAAACAGCACAGCAGAGCGGGCAGGAGAGGGGCAGCGTGTTCCCTGTAATGTGACACCAGGCCAAGGCGCAGCTCAGTTAGTCTATTGCTTGGAGCCTGGATTCCAGTTTCCTCAGTTCATTCAACTGACCCAAAAACTTCTTTTGGACTAGTCCATCTTAACAAAAAAAAAAAAAAAGAAGCAAAAAAAAGAAGCTTATATTTCTTAGTTTTAGACAAACATGCTCACTTTTTTTCTTTTTCTTTCTTTCTTTCTTTTTTGGTCAAAACTTAAAAAAAAAAAGTTTATTTTTTAAAAAAAGATAAAATGTGAGGTTTGGTAAACCCTATTCAGAGACTATACTGGTTTGAGTGGGAAAAAAAAAAGGAGAGAGAAAATATACAAGTGTAAACTTCTCAATTCAGAAGGGATGATTCTACTGGCTGTGAATTTTTACCACCACAGTCACAGGAGGCTTGAAATAAGCCATAGCTTTCCACAAGGTCACGCCAACAAAGTCAAGGGGGCCAAGAATTGGTGGGCTGAGTTCTCTGTCTCTTCTCCTAAACCAATAGCAGCTGTTGGCTGTGATGTCTTATGCAGATGTTGCAAGAACATTTTGTTTCTTTTCATTTTTCTTTCTTTTTGTGTGCGTGTGTTAAACTGTGTAAAAAGGAGGATATGAAACACTTTGGTTTGCTTTTTCCTCCTCTCCTCCACCTTATTGCACTCTGGATTCTAGTAAATTATAGACTGCTATGCCCTCACCCTCTGTCCTGCCAGGTGTTTACAGACTGACCCAGATGTGCTGGGGGAGTGGAAGATGAGGGGGGCATTTTCCTCTCCCCATAGTATCCAGATTCAATAAACAAAGCTGGAAAGGGCCCAGAAAACTCAGAGAAGTTTTCTTCTTTTATCTAAAAGTGACTACAGACAGCCAAGAGACTGCGAACGAGCCAGGCTGAGCAGCCAGCACAGCTTCTGGCTCAGCATATTTTTTGCTTTGTCTTTGGCCAAGCTTTGCTTTAACATTTCTCTAGCTGACTTGATGGAAGGACAGGGTGGTAAAAATCCCTTAATTTAATTTAGCTTCTACCTTTATACATTTAATTACTTACAATAAGAGAAAAAAAATGCCTAATCTTTCACTAACCATCTTATTGTTCTCATGAATTCAAGAGGTAGCAAAGGTAACAAGTCTGTACACACAGACTTGTTCTTTAGTGAGGGAGGAAAGCTAAAAACATACACACACACACAAAAAAAATAAAATAAACAATAATAAAAAAGTACCTAAGGAACTTGTAGCAAGTCCAGCCTACATCAAACCCCCTCCCTACCCACCCACCATAGAATTAACCTCAGACCTTCCAGTTCAAACATTCACATAAACGTTACAATGGTTTTTCCTTTAATAAAAGTACCTCTAAGCAAAGAATATTCATACGAAACTACTAGAAAAGTAAAGACGACCCCCTGCTCACTGAAAAATTCTCAGGGCATCCAGTCCCTGGTTCAGTCATGGGTAAGGCTGAAGAGGTTTGCATGTTTTGTGGGAAAAGGTGGTATGTGGTTACGTGTGCCAAGGATAGAGATTAAAACCAAATGAGTGAGGGATGGTAAGGAAAGCATCACCAGCTCTTTAAGCAAAGCACCCTGGCACTGCATGCCTAGGTAGATGGCTGTCTCCACCATGGCCAGCCCAGCAGGGTGGGTGGTGGGTTCCATCACTGCTTTGGCTTTACTACAGCATCCAAAAGGGCTGCCAACCCTGCAAGATGGTCCACAGACAGAGTTTCCGTGTTTGTGAGGGCAATGCAATGTTTTTTCATAGATGTATGCTATTTTCTTTTGAATGGCAAGAAATACCCTACTGAGTTTCATTTTAAGAGAGGACTTAACTAGGGCCACAGCATCACATAGGAAGGAGGCAGGGAGGCTGGATCCAGCAGAGAACAAAAGTTCCCTGTGGTCCTCCTTCTTGCTTCAGATTCCCAAAATGACAGTGAAGTCAGTGCACATGGAAAGAAGTGACATTTCATGCTAGATCACCAAGATTTTGAGGGAGAGTTGGACTAAATGCATCAGCTTGGCTGTGGACCTTTTTTTTTTTTTTTCTTTTAAGGGAAAACAACTTTTAAAAAAATGTTAAAGCTACATTTGTTTAGGCCTCCCATGACTGAACAGAGTATGGGGAGTTGCCCCCTTTTTTGTTTGTTTGCTTGTTTTTGTTTTTTTTAAGCAGCAAGTCTTACAGAAAGGTAAATCACTGCGGATGGGCTCGAAGCTCATTCTGGAGTCTTTGGCTTATGTGGGAGAGGTATGCATTCGCAGGTGGCTGATCAGATTGCGCTGCTGGGTGAATTTCCCACCACACAGTTGACATTCGTAGGGTTTTTCTCCTGAGTGGACACGCATATGCTCTGTCAGTCGGTACTGCCGGGTAAAGCGCATCCCGCATTCCTCGCAAGCAAAGGGCTTGAGCCCCAGGTGGCTGCGCATGTGCCGTGTCATGGTGCCCCGCTGTGTGAACATCTTGCCGCAGATGTTGCAAGGGAAAGGCCTCGTCAGCCAGTGAGTCTTCTCATGCTGTCGCAGTGTCGCTGGATCCTTGTAGCTCTTCTCACACACAGAGCACTTGAAGGGCCGGGACTCTGCAGAATAGGACTGGTTGGGGTTGGACAAATCCTCGGCTTCATCCTTGCCGCCATATGTGCCTTCCTCCTTGATGTAAAGGTCTTCCTCAGTGTGTGTCTCCACATGGGCATTCAGCTGCTCAGAGCTGGGGAAGCCTTTGCCACAGGGAATGCAGACATACAGGTTGTCACCATACGCCACTGGCTCAAATCCCTCCTGTCGGTAGACGTAGTTGGCACTGGTATGCCCACCACTCTCGCTCTCACTCTGGCCGCTGTCATCACTGTTCTCCTTGCCATTTTCTACCTCCTCCTTACACGAGTAGGGCAGGTCTGCACCATAAGCCCCAGCCAGGCTCCGCTCCACAGACTTGGACAAGGGCCCCAGCAAGATCCCATTGGGCAGCCCTTCGCCTTCATCCCTGTCTTTGCCTCCGTCCTTTCGGTCAAAGGCATTATCTTTCTTGATCCACTCCTTCTTACGGGATGAATGCCGGAGGCCCTTGCGCTGGCTGCTCTCTGTCAGCGAGTGGTGGCACTCCTCGCTCAGATCCATCTCCATGGGGTCACTGCTGTCCGCTATGCTGTGAGGGGCTCCAACTCCAGACTCGTCAAATGATGAGGCACTGTTGGCTGCAGGGGCTGAGGCAGATTGAGGAGAGCCATGCTGGCTTTCGCTGTGCTGTGTGTCATCGTGAGAGGCTGCAACTGGGAGTGATGGACTCTTTTTGGACAAATCGAGGCCGAGCTCCTGATCACCAGTGCTCCCATTTGCACTACCACCCCCACCACAATTCTTACTGGCTCCCCTGCTTAAGGAGTGACAGTTCTCTTGATTGGAGCTGCTGATAAAGACCTCATCATCAGAGAGCTTTCCCTTTGACAGCTCCTTTGTATGGGAGCCCTTCAACCCCTCATTTGACCCTGAATAGCGAGCTTGAATGACAGAAGCAGCGGAAAGTCTCTGAGTCCTGGCAGATCTCCCAACACCAAGGCCACTGGCCTTGCCAGAGAAGGACTTGCTGTTCCGCTTTAGCTTCTTTCTGCAGAGAGCTGCCAGGTCGTGCAGTTGGAGGTAGCTTGCTGCGGTGAGGAGAGCACTGAAGTTCTGTTCACCGGGCTGGTCAGTCGTTAAGAGCTTACCAGTATAAATAAAGTCCAAGATCTGACGGAACACGGTGGGGTTCACCATGTCCGTGTCTAAGTTAATCAGGTTGTCATGCAGGACAAGGGATTTGAAATACATGCTGCTGGCTGCCAGGATGTTCTTATGGGCACGAAACAGGGCATTTTCTACCACAATGATCACATCACAGAGGAAACCTTTGGCTCGTTGCTGGTTCAGCTGCAGTAGCAGTTGTTTGGCATGATTTGGCAGTTCCATCTCCACCTTCTCTTCCTTTCACCTTCACTTTACCACCTGCAAAACAGGATGATGGGAAGTGTGAACCTGCTGTTTCCACTCAAACATGTCTACATTTAATAGACTGGCTTAACAGTGTGCAGCCTTTGTTCAACTTGACACTGACTATGGAGGTCTGGGTATGATGTAGCCTTGCAAGCTGTGATCCTTCCTGGATTACGGACAGAAGTATTACTCACACTAAGATTTCAAGTCTCAAAAATCAGATTTTTACAAAAGAAATCATCATTGGCTGGAATTGCTATTCGAAAGACACTAGTGAGAAAACAGTAGTTAGGTATAGGGGAAAACTTTTTGCTTTTCCCAACACAAATCTGAAGGGGGAATAAGGAGAAAGATAAAAAGGAAAGGGAAAAAAGCATCTCTCTCTCTGCCATTTGTATATCTGAGCATGTAAAATAACTAGCATAAGCTTCACCTTCCCTGCTTTAATATGTAGTTTGTTTCTTGGCTTTAATATGATGAAGTCTTACAACATATTAAAATCCAGCAGCTCTGAGGTTGAGAAAATGACATTTAGCAACTGAATCCAGTGGAGATGGAATTAATCACACAGAGGTGTCAATGGAAAATCTCCTTAAGAAGGGCTGTTTTAAAAATCACCCCCCAGGCAATGTCCATATCCTGATCCACTAACATTAAGTGCTAGAATCAACCTTGGACTGCCTGAAATTCAGGATGCTGAGCTAGCTAAATGCCAGCAAGTATATTTAACAATCTGAAACTGTTTTCTCAAGTTAATTCCTGCCTTAATTTTGAAAGATTTTTGTCTAAACAAATAGAATTCGAGTAACCTATCTCAAATAGCAGTCTCTCTACCCTGAAATACTGGTAAGAGAGTAAGATTGTGGTTACCTCTGTGTAGTTCATGTATTTCACTAATGGTATGTACAGTGTAATTTATTTTAGATATTTATATTGATTTATATTGATGGCCCTTATTAAGCAGTTGGTTTAAGGAGGATCCAAACTAACTGCCACCTGCAAATTTGGTAGATATGAGAACATGTAGAAATTAGAATTTAAAATCGGGGCTGCATTCAGAAATCCAAGATTAATTTTGTTTCTTTTGTTATTGTTGATATTTTTGTTTGAAAGCGTCGGCTTCTACTTGTAATGGGCATTTATCTGTTAATTTAAAATTCATTTAAAGTAATTTCTGAGCTTCAAACATAAAACAGCTACCTTCATCTTTCCCCTTCTCCCTTTCTTTCCCAGTTCATCTTATTATTGAAATAGATTTCTGCTTTTGATGGAGGAGCAGGCCCTACATCCATAGAAATGAAGATTATTCTCTTAAAATCATCTTGACTTAATGCTTTTATTGTTTGTGTGTTCCATTCTGTCACATCAGATTTCAAATGATAAAGCATTAAGCTGATCTAGGCTTATCTTCTCTCTGGGTCAAGTATGTGTACTCAAGAAAAAGAAATAATGAATAATACCTCCATAGTTTAAAAAAAAAAAAGCCTCCTTCATACCTTACTTATATTCTTACTGACTGGTGATGAATAAAAAGTTTTCATTTTGCAGAAAGGCGTTAAATTTACGTCATCTGTTTCCGTGCAGCAAAAGGATTTTTCTTTATGAAAGAAGCAACCAAAAAGTAAACTGCTTTTCTTCCCAAACTGCTGACTCACTAGACTGGCACTTCTGCAGTTACCGAACAATCTGCCAAGCAGGTGCCTCCCTTCTTCCACAGGACACATTTTTTCGGTTGACCAGCCTGCAATTTGCCTTTGCATTTGGTAGAATTTTGTGGCCCTTGTTCTGTGCACACAGATCACAGTTGCTTTTCACCTTGATCCACAGCTAAAATGACTGTTCTGCTTTTCTGTTCCATTCCTATCCATTCCACAATGGATGGGATCCACATTAAGTGGTGAATTCACTGCTCATTAATACTGCTTGCCAAGATGGCTGGCTTTAAAAAGGGTCTCAGCCAAAGAAGGAAATACAGGCTTGCTACGGTTTTAGACAATTATTTCTTCTCTCTTTATAGTGTTTCTGTCATAGAAATTCATTCTGCCGCTTCTTGAAAACATAAAGGGATTACCAGCAGTGAACTACGTTGAGCACTTTAAAAACAAGTTTTACTGGAGATGGTTACATCAGAGCTACAGTGCACAGGCAGTGCGTCTGGCTGTAGTAGCTTTCTTCCAGAACTGCTGATTAAAAGGAAGAAGTAACAAATGAGGCACCGAATGCCCACTTTTAGCTGATCAGGCCTGTAAAAGCACTTACTTCTGGGTCACCAACATATATTCATAGGGACGGACAAAAACTTGGCTTGCAACATAACACTCTGTCTCTAGATATGAATGCATCCTGCTCAGCAGTAGCAAGAGACCACCTGTTACTGCACTACAACTGTAACAGTGCTTCTCCTTGCATATAATATGCAAAATACCTCAATATAATTTTTAAGTGTTCCATAAGGAAAATGCAGGAAGAGAAAGGAAAGATCATAGCCAGCATTTTTTTCTTGAACAGACTAATAAAAAAAATATGCGTTCCTGAACTAGAAGTGAGCTTGTTTACCATTCGTATGGCACTTGAAGCAGAGGTCTAGAAATTTCTGCAGACATGTTTGTCTAAGCCTTTGCAAAAAGTGAAGGCTTGTTGCAGCTACAAATGGGAACCCTTCTGCCTTAAATGATCTTGAAATGAGGTAATGAGGTAGTGAGCCTGCAGGGAAAGCAGCCCCAAAATTATATTTGGCTTTTTACTGAACTCTATGAGAAAGATAATGTTATTATTAAAACACAGTATGTTCTGCAGCAGGAAAATTAGCATAGTACACGTTGTTCAAATTATCTATATTTATCTCACATCTCAAATTTTACAAAAGTAAAATTTCAGTAGGACAGAAGTATGAGATAGGTTATTACCTATAGTAGATTTTAAATGCAGCGATCAAGTTTAAGCAGTACAACACCATCTGTCAAATTTGAATTTGTTAGCTGAAGTGTAACATGGATTTAGCAACCCCAACAAGACGAATATAATAGAACAGGGCAGGCAAAACCTTCAGCCAAGTTTAGATCTCCATATATAAAAGTTTGTCAGAAATTGCCCACTGAGGGTTTTTACCAGGACAGCAACGTGGGTCAGAGAGCACACCTTTGACTGAATACCTTTGTTGGCATACCTGACTTATATATCTTGTACAGTCCTGGACACAAATAAATTCATTCCAGATGTTTTCCAGAGTTGACCAATTATAAACCCTTCTTTAACAGTGATGCATTTTGTGAGTAGGGGAATGCTGGAAATCTTGTTAGCAAAAGGACAAGCATGCATTATTCCTTGACCTCTGGCATTCCTAAGTTCTCACTTCTAGTGGAAAGCGTGGGATCAAAGATAACTACAAGGTTAAGTCCTGTATAAAACTGAGCAGATCTTCCCAAACAAATGGCAGGTGCAGTCTTACAAAGGTCTTCCTATCCGTCAGTTTGCAGAGAATGGTTCTTAACAAACCTTGAAGATGTGCACAACATTACCACCAGTATTAACAACAAAAGCCCCCGAAAGACCCTGAAAAACCACAGTGGTTTATATTTTGTGTATTTCAGTATAATTTTTAAGAACCCTTCCTTTTTTGTTTTCTGCAAGAAGATTAAAAAAACAAACAAAACCACAAATTCCCCACTTACAGGGAGTTCTCCGATAAAATAAAAAACAACAACAAAACCAAGGGTCACAGTCTTTCAGTATTGAATTTGGTGTGCAAAATTTCACTCCTTTGCATTTAAACAGGATCACAGAAGATTTTAATCAAAAAGCAGTAGAGATAGTTTTTCAGGTTTAGGTTGCTTCCCAGTCATTCAAGACACAGTTTTCAAAGCAGAACTTGCTTAAGTATTCTTGTGCAAGTAAGGAAGAAAGCAAGATTGAGGCTCTCCACTACTCCACTATATCCATGTCATTGCGACACAGCGCATGCAGAGATATGAAAAATACAGAGCACAAATCACAGATTACAGCAATGCTGCAAGCAAATGCCACACATTGAACAAAGCTACACAAGCTAAAAGCATTTTCACAAGCAGTAATGCCGAAGGAGCTGAGTAACTGAGCTGCTGTGCCCAGGTTTGAGCATGCAGTCATCGAGTGCGCGTGGAGAGCATGCAGAACACATCAACAGCTCCAGGAGCTTTGCTGCTCTCACTACAAAGCAGGAAAAACGTAATTTGCTCTCAATTTCTGTAATGACTTTGGAAATCGCTGAAAATTAGGTTGCCAAAGTATGTGAGAAGAAGAATCCCTTCACTCCCTGTAAATAGTATAAAATCTACATATTCATTACAGATTTGAGTCTCTTTAATATTCCTGAATCTTTTCCTAAAAGTAATTCCTGAATAAACATTGTGTGTTCTCTTAGCAGCCTCTAGTAGGAGACACTGTCTGATTTCACCCGTGTTATAGATTTTAACGTCTGAATACTGTTCACCTTCTAAGAAGCAACAACAGTGAAGCAAAGAATCAATCAAAAACAGATTTAAGGGATCACTCATTTCGTGGAGAGGATTTGTGTCAAGCACCTGAACAGTGAACTAACAGTACTGCGGATAAAACCAGCAAACAAATTAGATGTGATGTATCAAATTAGATGCCAATAAAGCATTAGCCTAGCATGCATGTTATAATATATCTAGGAAAAAATAGGGTCCTGCTTACTTATGACTCTTCCTTGCTAAGCAGTTCTGCTGCACCAAGTAGACATGCAATAGTGAGCATGGGAAAGAACAAGACAAACAAAACCAATTGCTTTCTTTGTTGCTTTTTCCCACCAAGTTACTTCCAACACTAAAAATGCTGTGTCCAGCTACTGTCATATCTAGGTGAAACTGAAACATGGATTCTTCACCCTTCAGTTTCAGAGGAACTAACTTTTTTAGAGAACTGGAAAATCCTAGCAGGAAGAGCTTTCCTACTGTTCGCTGGCTCATCTGATCTTTCTTTCCCCACCCCCCTAGAGAACTTACTTCCAGGATTTTCCCAAGGTATTGGTGAGGTGGTCTTTCAGGGCTGCTAACCTTCCCCCCAGGAGCTGCAGTTGGCAGGTCATTAACCCATACCTTGTGAATGTATTCACATTCCAGAGCAGCAGAGGCAGACAGGAATGCATGAACTGTGTTAGCTCAAACTGTTCTCTATCCCCTGTGAGAAGGCAGACAGCAGAACACTGAAGCAGAGGCAAGAACATGCACTTTGTCATCATCCGCATTAGAACAGCAAAAGCTCTTTGAGATGGTCTTTGAGAAGCAGAAAACTGGATGCAGCACCCTTGTTTTTCACACTAGAGTATCTCACACTTCAAAATAGGTAGGACCAACATGTCAAGTTACAGGGGATAGGTCTGCAGAACTGGGGAAGGGAGAGAAAGCAACATGCAGGAGAAAGCAGGATGCGCAGCTGCTGTTGCAAGTGTACACATGGAAAGGAAGAGAATGGAGGATTATTTCACAGAGGATACCATATCAGCAAGCATAAAGTGGTCCTTATCTTGTTTGTTACATTCCATTTATTGCCAGATAGAACTGCCATCCTGTCTCCCTCAAGCAATTTACAAGACGCCCGCAGAAATGGTGAAGCTTGGGATATGGTCACAAGCACCTCTTTGGTACCTTTGTTCTGCAATGTTTGGACGTTTTGTACGTGGGCAGTACATGCTCAACTGCTACCAGCGTCTGACCCAAAAAGGAGAGAAGATAGAGTCAAACGATGTCCCTAGTCCTTCTTTTTCCTGTCCTATAGTAACAATCAGAGCCTGACATGGCTAGTTCCTTCCCCGCTGCATGGCAAACTGTATAGGCAATGGAGATGTCCGTGGGTGAGGAGGATAGAGGCCCTGTGTGCATGAAAGCACTAACATCAGGAGAGCAAAGTGATTTCCAGTAATTGCAAGGCTGCAGCAAAGCAGGAACACCTTGCTATAAAAGCCAAGACTACGAGCAGTACAATGCAGATTAACCACTTGGTTGCCGCTTACCATGCCAGGTACATTGGGCTAAAGGCACCTCCATCCAGTGCTGCCCGACGTGCCAGGTACATCCCATGATGTTCCATTGAAATCACAACAGGCCATCAATAGAACGTGGCTGCACGGATGCAGAATGGAGAACCAGGCGCTGTTAAATGCAATTAAAAAACGGCAATCAAAATTGAAACGTACATTTTAAAATGGCCATCTGCCTTAAAAATGTAACTACGAAAACAACCTCCCCTCCACCCATCTCCCCCGAGCTGATCTGTGACAGAAAGAGCAGAAGACTTCTGCACTTTTCCTTGATGACTTGCTCTGTCCACCTCCATTCAGGACTCCAATGGCACTGAGTTTCAGGGGTACCAGGGAACACATATCCAAGAACAGCAGATCCCAGGCTATCTGCACCAGCTTCCCTACTGCCTAGAAATACAGGCAGGTAATATCACCATTAGAAATGCTTCTGTAATGGAAAAAAAAAAAAAAAAAATGGTGCCAGAGCTTCACGGTCTTGTTACCCACATACAGACAATGGAAATAGTACTTAAATGCTGATCCTTCATGTTGTTTCCTTTTCCCTGTTCCCCTTCCCAAGCTCTTGAAATCCTTCTCTTATAACATCTCTGATGTTATGGCATGGATCCAGGCTGAGTCCTTTGGCTTTTGTTACATCTGTGGAGCAAGGAGGGAGGGAGGAAAAGAGAATATTGAACCCTCCTGATTATAATGATGCTTCACTAATAACTTTATTATCCACTCTTGGAGACTGGAAATGATGTTGATTCGTAGTGGACTACAGCTCATATGAGAGTCATGAAACTTAAGACATACGATTCCACCCTTCCCTGCCCAAAAGAAGAACAACATCCTTTTCATGCCAAAAAAAGCACATCCCACTGATGCACACAGCTTGTTAAACCTAGGGTATCCTCTGCAGTGCATATCGTCCTCTTCCAAGAGTCTCTGCAGTCAGCTCTGGCAGCATTATCAAGGAGGACATTCTCAGGAAAGATGCTAAGCACAGGCCTCTCCTTACAATTGTTGTTGCTCGAAGCAGGTAAAAACCACCAAGAAATAAACTTGCAGCCTCGCAGGGATTTAAGACAGGACTTTTGCATAGTTCATATCACATTGATGGCCACATGTCTCCATCTGTGCTACTGCAAATGGAAATCTTACATTTAAAAAGTTAGAAGAATACTGATTACCATTTCAACCTTAAAAGGCTGAATGGAAAAGACTGACAGCAGTGAATCTTATCTGTATGAGAGTGAATGTAAGGGACAGCAGTGGCATGGCAAATTGGAAGTGTTTTCATGAAAAGGACACCAAATGAGGAGGTCTTGATTCTTCTTGGACATCTGCTGGGCTCAGACACATCCCATCATTCCTATCTGCAAACTTATCCTCACAGTTCTGTTACTTAATCCCTTCCATAAGAATAGAGCTTTCGTACTCAGATTGTCCTGTTTTGAATGCTCTATACTGTAGATTTTTAAATATTGTCAATACAGTGAAGAAGTGAAATGTGTTTGCTTCCTGACCTGGGCTGTACTGAACCAAGAGCATTTGCTGAAATACAGACCACAGCTCCCGCTCTCCAAGAGCACACACCTTGCATAAAAGCAACACATTCCTGGCTGCACTTGCAGCATCAGGGCTCTGCAAAACACTCAGCAATAGTGGCAGTACTCAGTTTGAGAAAGACTGAATGCTGCATTAAGGTATTTATTGGACTGGTTTTGAGACAGTAGTTCTAGTGCAGATTTACATCCAGATTACAGTAATTCCTGCTACTGTGAAGCAAGAAACTCTTCTCTATGGTTGTGTTTTCCCTCTAGGGCAGAGATTAGCAGAGAACTGCTTAACACAGAGGTGTTTTCTGCTACTAGAGCTGCAGTCAGAAATGAAATTTCCTGCAATTCCTAAACAGAGCTTTTGTATATTATAAATTTATTTTCACTATTGACACAAAGACTTCCAAAACGTTATACGTGGAGGAGAAAGGAAAAGCATAGACATCAGAGATGTTGTCAGGCAGAGCCAGGCACTAAAATTTCTGGCAAATCTGCAGAGTACAGTTGAACTTAGCATAGCAGTGGCACAAAACACATAAAGGCTCAGAAGCAGTAGATGTTGGGTGCTCCTGCAGCCCTGCAACAGCTGACAAGGCTCAGCCCTGGCTTGATACTGCATTACAAGTGAGACAGGCATACCTGATGCTGATCTAATGACTCCTTATTCCAATAAAATACCCACATATTCAGTAAAGTAGCTCAGTCCACGTAAGAGGAATAGTATCTGTACGCACTCAGCAGGTGCAGGCCCTGTGGTATGCAAAATTCCTGTTTCCCACCTACCTTTGAGCATTGGTGCATAGAATTTTCTCTTCACAATGCAAGAATTTAGGATGTGATTAAAGGACTGCTGCTGCCTTCCAGCTAATCCTTGAGAGTTTTAGGCAGAATCTATACCTCAGTGAATTACATGGAATGAAAAGATGCTAAAGGTCCTAAACCTTGGGATCTATTCCTCAGTGTGATAGGCCAGGGTTCACAGGTGGTGCATGGGGTGGTAGCTGTGTGCTGGACATTGCTTTGGGAGCAAGAGCACACTGTGTTGGAGAAGGAATGTCATGACCCTTTTCTAACAGAGCCTGTTTTACAGCAACCTTCCAGTTGCAGCACAGCTTTAGGTCTCTGAGTCACCACGGGTACAAGCTGATAGTTGGGTTGTGAAATGAAGCAATTCTGCAACAAGTGCACAGTTCTTTGAACTGTCCCTGTGACTGGAGAGGGATCTCCAGGACAGGGATGAGATAGATAGCTAAGAGTGTTAAATCCACCAGCTGTTGTGACTCAGACCCATCAACAGGGTTTGTTAGAGCAAACAGGGCCTCACAGCATTGGAAGAAATGGGAGAGTCTGAGAAAGATCCTCCCAATTGGCCTGCTTATTTTTATTTCTTGTGTGTACTCAGCAATTTTTTCTGCAGTTAGAAGCAGTCTGTGGAGGAGCATCTGCATAGTGCTAATGTTGGGAACTTGTTGCAGTAGATTACACTAAGCTCCAGGCCAAGGGGTGCAGAGAGGACATGGGCACTAAAAGCCTTGGACCAAAATGTTATCTCTCTTGCCATATGCCAGATGCCGAGAGCTCAGAAACAAACTTTGCCATCTCATTTTTTTTGTACAAGACCAAATTTCATTCACTTATTTCATCTGTGCCTGTGGATATAGCAGCAGCAGTTGTCCTTAACACAAATAATCAATGCCTTAAATATGGCACCTTTTGCACTTTATCCAGCCTTCTCTGTCATAGGGTTTATCAGCTTCAGTGATTACAACTCCAGGCAGTTACAAAAGGTGACCCAGCATTATGGGATGTTGAAAACTTTGAAACAATGCAAAGTATCTTTCCTTCTCTATGCAGTATTCTTGTCAGTGTCGAAGATTTTCTGGCACTTCTCAAAACACACAGATTGTAGGTTCTTATCATAAATCAAGCCTCAAGACATTTCTCCATTAAAAAAAAAAAAAAGTGAAAGGGGATGGGCAAATCAGAGAAAAAGGTAATTCTGCCCAAGGATTTGGTTTTGAAAAGGAGATTAGCAGCCTGTGCATGTACTTTTACCATGTAATCTGGAAGCTCCTCAGGACAGGACCCCCTGAACACACCATACTGAACCATACACACACCTCATAGCAAAAGAACCAGCAACTCTCTCATCAGTTCCAGACTGTTCAGCTTCTAACTCAACACTGCCAGAAGGCAAGACTATAACAAATTAACACCATTCACACTTCATTGAAGTTGCTGTTCCATTGTTTATTTAAAACACGCAAACACACACACACACACACTCAAGCTGGCTCTCCGCTGCCATCATCCAAACCCAAGATTTGTAGTGACAGAGGGACAAGCAAAGGCAATCAATTAAACTCATACAGAGCAGCAGTCACTTCACTGGAACTCTACTTAGGTGTTGCTCTTTCACAGCAAGCAAAGCAAAAGAATGCCCACACTGTTCCAGCCTTTAAGACAAAGGTGTAAAAATCCTTATTTCAGCACTTGAATAGAAAAGTTACAAAAAAGAAAGAGCCCCAGGTTTGAAAGGACTCAAGCACAAATATGGGTTGGGCAGAGAATGGCTTGAGAGTAACCTTGGGAAGCATTTAGGAGTATCAGCTGATTAAAGACTCAACGTGAGCTGGCAGTGTGCGCTTGCAACCCAGAAAGCCAACTATATCCTGGGTTGCATCAAGGGATGTGAGACCAGCAGGTTGAGGGAGGCGATTCTGTGCCTCTGCTCTGCTCTTGTGAGACCCTGCTTGGAGTACTGCATCCTGTTCTGGGGACCCCAACACAAGGACGTGGAGCTGCTGGAGCAGGTCCAGAGAAGGGTCACAAAAATGATCAGAGGGCTGGAGCACCTCCCCTACAAGGACAGGCTCTTCTGCCTGGAGAAGAGAAGGTTCTGGGAGACCTTACAGCAGGAGGTCTTTCCAGTACCTGAAGAGGCCTTCCAGGAAAGCTGGGGGGGACTTCTTATAAGGGCATGTTGTGAAAGGATGAGGGGAAATGGCTTTCAACTGGAAGAGGATAGATTTAGACTAGATATTAGGAAGAAATTCTTTACTATGAGTGTGGTGAGACACTGCAACAGGTTGCCTGGTGATGTTGTGGATGCCCCCCTCCCTAGAAGCATTCAAGGCCAGGCTGGATGGGGCTGTGAGCAACCTGGGCTAGAGAGAGGTGTCCCTGCCTACAGCAGGGGGTTGGAACTAGGTGATCTTAAAGGCTCCTTCCAACCAAACCATTCTGTGATTCTGTGACCCAACACTAATCAAACTCATGCTATTTACGAACACCCAAGGGACAATCTGCACCCCTTATCATCACACAAGATGATAGCTGCATTAAAATAGGAAACTTGTCTTACTTCATAAAGCACAAAGTTTACAAAGGACAGTATTAGTGAAAGTAAATAGTTGTCAGAGTAAAGCAAAGAGGTGGCTGTAAGACCTGACAAAGTACAATGGGCTGCTCCCATTTCTGAACTCTGGGTATTAATGCTGTAGGATGAGGCCAGTTCTTCTAACATGGTTTACTCTGATGCATCAGTCTGTTTTTATTTTAAGAGATTATCTGGGAGGTGTGTTATGCTTTTATTCACGCTGGAGAAATTAATATTTTATCATGAGATGATCACGATAAGGATGATGTTAAAAGCTGTAGGAGAGTCTTATCCTCCCACCAAATACAGTTTAGTTTGCCAGCATGTATGTGTGTGTCACTAATGATTCCTTCACACAGCATTTGTATCTGTAGGCACTTACTATATGCAGAGCACCTCAATATCTGATGTGCTGCTCACCAGTTGCATCACATAGTCTTTAGAGACAGATTCTTTTTCATTTCTGTTGATTTATACTACATTAAGCCCTGGCATGCTGCAAGTTAGTTTAAAGCATAGTAAAGTTGGCATAATCACCTGAAACCCTTACTTGCTGCCTTTTTTCTCTACTCATTTTATGAATGTTTTCAGGTTTATGATCACTCTAACACTGTGTATCCTCTGGCTTCTTTGTCACACCCTGAATGATAGCTGCATCATCCAAAGCTTGGTGTAAAGACAGTTTTGGTTTCTGGACAAGTGAATGATAGACTCCA